TAGCAAATTATTGTCTAGTCATCATTCAGAAAATGTAAATCATGGTCACTTGAAAGTATAGATTGAAGTTTTTCCATCTACCTGGTCCAGATAAAGCTGAAGGCATCAGCAGACTGGCAATATGAAAAGCTTCTCTTCCTCGATCACCAGCTGCACCTGTTTCAATTACTAATGGCTTTGTGAAGTCATAATCCAGATTGATTTCAGGTGCCGCCAGACATCAAGTACCTTAACTACTAATGACATTGAGGGCCTCTTGTGGTGCAATTGCTTTGCAGACACTATGCAGCAATCTGCATCATCTCCACAGCTTCCTGAAAGTGGACCTGCACGTCCAAATTTTTCTTGTCACCATGTCTTCATGTCTTTCTTCTTCTGCTTTTCTTTGAAAACGCTGAGCAAGTGCCTGTCTTCCTCGATCTGAAACCAGCCCAAATTCTTCCGCCACAAGGATTTCCAACATCACAATGCCAAAGCTGTAAACATCCACTTTTTCCGTGATCACGGAGCTCAACCATTCAGGAGGCCACATACCCTGGTGTTCCTCTCATCCTTGTAATAACTCTACTCTGATCCTTGTCAACCAGCTTTGACAATCCAAAATCAGCAACTTTTGCGTTGAAGTTTCAATCTAAGAGGATGTTTGGGGTTGATGTCAAAATGAATTATTTTCTGACTGCAGTCTTCATGGAGATAAGCTAATCCCTTTAGCAATGTCTGTGATGATTCTTCTCCTTGCATTCCATGGAAGAGATTGGTTGTCCTTTCCTCCATAGATCCATTTATCCAAAGATCCATTAGCCATGTATTCATAAACCAAAAGCCGGTGCGATTTCTCAAAACAAAAACACAACAACGCAACAAGTTTACCAAGTTAAAATGGTGATGCTACCACTTATCTACACTTCCACTAAAAAAGAGTCCTCTAGTTGACCCAAACCATCAAGACACTTGACTGCTATCTTCGTGCCATTACTTAATGCCCTTCATAAACAGAACCAAATCCTCTTCCCCAAGTTTTTTGCTAAAATCTGCTGACATTGCTTTCAAGTTCTCATAAGAGTATCTTGTAGGCATTCCTGGTACCTTGCTCAAAAGTCCTCAATTTCTTTTTAGATTCCCTGATAGTTCTGCTTAGAAGAACCAGGGAAGAAACGATTAAACATATCGACACCTAAAAAGCCCCAAATGTAGAGGCGCATTAAATAACTGTTTTACGTCTTGACGTGTTGACATAAGCATTTTGCACCTTAACAAGGAGAGTTGTATTATAAGCTGATCCGACATAATTCTCGTTGTCAATAATAGAAAAAACTTCATTTAGCAATAAGCAACTTCCGTTGATTCTTAAATCTTTATGCCATAGATCTGTATAATAAAACACGGCTGTTTTGCATGACAGTTACTTAGACACCTACTTTTGCAGTCCTCCATGACCGTATGTGTTTTGTCCAAGCTTGAATCAAATGCAAAGTAATATGTATCCTTTAGCTCCAGAAGACTGTGATCTTGGGCGTGATCACAAGAAATTGGAGTGAGCAGTGAACATCCAAGATCGAGTTGTCTGAAATTTGAAATTTATTGGGCTGTAATAGCCTCTTGGCCAGTGGTTGTTTGAATGCAACCACATTGCTCATTTGAACATATTCCATAGTTGCCACATACCATAGGGAAGCCACAATTACCAATATATGTGTGCAAAAGATCAATTACCTCCATAAATCCCCATGGTCCCCACTATTCTACCTTTAAATGCCCATCAGGCTCAAACTTCATGAATTGAGCTACTGATGCAGGCGGAATCATAAAGTCATTGAAGCTACCGTTTCTGAACTCATAATAAGGATACCTATTGAGGCCAGTAACAAAGTATGTTTGAGGTGGATCAGACTCTACATAAGCTGACAAGCCATCAGATCCAACAGCCAGAGAAAGCCGACCTTGACTCTGATTGGATGCTGAAACACTAGCTGTCAGCTTCTGCCCACGAGCCAACTTCTATGCCAGAAGTAATGAGTCGGTGGGATGGTCAAAAGACTGCCAAATGGATCATTGTTTGGCCGAAATAGCACCAGGTTTCCCATTTCTGTCAAGTTTAAGCCTGATACAGGCTTTCCCCTCGTATTGGTGGACCATATTAAGGTGCCGTCAGAGTTTGCCAAGACCAAATCTCCATCTTCCTTAAGTTGCAATGTGGCGTTCCTCTCAACAGGATTATTCCTGTTGGCAGACCAGACTAATTTTGAGGACTGCAGATATCCATCAGTATTAAGCCGACCTTGGAAAATGAGGATTCCAAAGAGGCATTCACTACCTCCTGTGGTACAGTAAAAGCCGCACACATAACTTGGTCCATCACTTCCTCTCAGGAGGATGGGTATCATTGAATGACTAGTATCTTCGCAGTTGATCATCATGGACTTAGAGACCTGGTTGATCCGCGAGGAGGAAGATAGGCAGTTGAATTAAAAGATAATTCACGGTTTGGGCATTCATGAATATTGATGATGAAGACAGAAGCAGACAAGCAAGAAAAATGGCATAACTTAATAATCTCTGCTCTACAGCCATTGCTTCACTTAGAGAGGTTGTTCTGGCTTTTGGGCTTGCACAAATATAACATGGCAAAATGCAAACTGAACCAAGTTAGGATAGACAAGTCTCTTTGTTCAACATATGTGAATTCTCTGTTCGGCGTGACTGTGATTCGCATTGATCTTCATTTTTCAGCTGGCCATTGATAGGTGCTTGTTCTCACTGTAATACTACTTTGCTAAGCTTGACTTCTCTGGTGTTTACTTTGACGAAAAATAATAATCGAGCATACTGGAGTTAATGCGCGTTTGGCTTCTCAAATTCTTAGTTGAAAGACTGGGCGAAAGGAGATGAAACAAAATGGAACGTGTCCAGATGCAATCAAATACCAAGAAATACCGTACGCTGGCGACCACTTAGGATAGTAGAGGAAGGGATAATTGCAGGATTGATCTAGAGGTACATAGCATTTGCAAATTTTCCCGTAAGGAATGGAAAAATGCGACAACTCCCTTTAAATGTAATTGTGTGTAAAGAAAGTGCCGAAATTAAAACAGATAATAATTATAAATTTGACACGTGTGGGGGAGAAGAAATTGGAAGAACAAAAACTGGAGGTTAATGTACTAGTTGTGCATCACTTAAAATAGAAAAGGATTCACACATGTATATAATATATATATTTAGTACCCAAATATTCAGCCTAAGCATACGACTGAGCTTTGAATTGTCCATTCTTTTTTTTCTCAATTTTTCAATTTATTTGAAACGATCGAAATATCATTAATGTCTTTTGATTTGCATTGGAACTAAATACGTGCTTTTATTCGTTAGGTATTTTGTAAAAGTATACACTTGCAAATGTGGTAGTTGAAAAATAGGAAAGAAATATTATTTGACTATAATTAACAATAAAAAATTGTGTTTGTTAGTAACGTTACCGAAATTAAAATCAACAATTAAAATTTATAAACCGATGTTGAGGAAACCTCCTCAATTCATTTAGGGTCCGTTTGGTTCATGGAATGACACAGGATTAGATTAATCATCATTTGTCATCTCATGTTTGGTTGCATTTTATACATGAGATGATACATCCTATATAACCGAATTAATCCCCTATTCATGGGATAAAATAATCCCATGGGGAGATGGGATTAGTTATCCCGGGATGACTAACAGAAAGGATGATAAAATTTTAAACTAATTTATCCTTATAAAAAATACAAATTTATAGTCTTATAATTATATAATCCTATTGTCACATGATAATATAGAATGAATGGACTAATTTGCCCCTACTATTTAATTTTAAAGTTTTTTTGACTAATTTGCCCCTACTACCAATAGAGCAATATTTGGACTAATTTATCCTTATGAATGATTCAAATTCAAATTAGCTATTATACAACCATACTCTCACATAATAATATCATAATGAATAGACCAATTAGCTCCTATTAATTCTACTAAAATTTTTGACTAATTTGCCATACTAACATCATAATAAAAGGACTATAGTGCCCTTGGACTAAATTACCCTTACTAACCTTATTTTCTAAAAGAAATTTATATAAATATTATTTCATTTGTTACAAGATACAAGATGGTTCAGTTACAACTCAATATGTTTTTTCCACGAATCAACTTGTGGATACGTTTACCAAGCTTTTGGGAAAAGAGATGTTTTCAATCATGAAACGCAAGTTGGGAGTTCTTGAAGTTCACTCTCCAACTTGGGGAAGTGTTGAGATGGCAAGTCCACAACTAGTGGCGTAGATTTTATTGTAATCATAGTGTTTTTAGGAAAGATTTTGTAAATTGGTAGCTTAGCAAAATTTATAAAGCGTATTGTCCCAATTCAACTCAATGTATATGAAAGAAATATCCTTTTTCCTGTCATCTTTTCAAATTAAGGTCGGGAGGGAACTTTTCTCAAAGTAAGCTTTGATAAATCTCCATCGGAGAGCATCCACCTAAGGAAATTCTGGTCTCAAACTGAGTATTATCATTCCGTCTCTTCTCAAATGATCTTGATGTTTCGTTTCTGCTTGACAAAATTTACAGATCTAGTCCTACCGATTCTTGAACTTCAACAAATTTAACAGCAATTTTCTTGATTATTTTTCTTCTGCATTTGTAACAAAACTATGAGGTTTTCGAAGCTTAATGAGCAGTGCTGGCAAGATGTATTTTACAGTGCATGTGTAATAGGAAACGCCTAGCGTCTCTCCCTCCTAAAACACTGATCATCATGATAGTGGTATGCCTTCTAAAACAGGCGAACACGACAATGGCATGGCAATGACTAAAGAAAGTTGCACGTAAATGAACCACCTAATTTCCGGGAACCAGCCACTATATATGCAATCTTTTATCAGGACGAAAATACTTGACTTGGAACCACAGACTTGATATACTACATAGAATTGATCTGCAATACATAGGATTCTCCATTTTTAAAAATGGCAAGGTTGATTGCACTAACTTTCTTTGCAATATCGGTAGCCATTGTTTCAACTTCAAGGCCAGAAGTTGCAGCTGCTGCCCCATCTTGCTCAGTTGTCGGTACCATGCTGGAGCCCTGCGAGCCATATGTAATAGACCAAGGCAGTCAACCGAGCAGCGCTTGCTGCAATGGTGTAAAAGAGGTATCTGATTCGGTAGAGTCCAAAGCAGACCTTGAAGCCGTCTGCAACTGCATCAAAAACGCATTGCCTTTGATAGAAAATGCTTCGCCTGCTCGCATTTCTGGACTTCCCAAAGCTTGTGGAGTGAACAGTAACTTTCCCCCTTTTGATCCCAACTACGATTGCTCCAAGTAAGTCACCATCCCAATCCCTCTTAGTGTGTGATCCATGACTGTGTATTTGTGCGTGACATTGTTCTTGACAAATGACAAGTACTTGTTTCTGTATATGGATGCAGGATTTCTGATTGATTGCATGGTTGATGATCAAAGCTGCTTTGCTCAAGGACCACTTCTGTGATGGTCTAGTCGTTAGTATCTAGCTGAATAAAGTCACTTTTCCCTCAAGATGAATTAGTTTTGAGTGTCACATATATATATGGGCAACTATAACTACTGAATGTATCTGTTGCCTGGTTTATCTAAACTTTAGTGGGAATATTTGAAACAGCAAAAATTATTGGTCATGTACTCTTATTTCATTATGCTGCCAAAGACAGATGGATTTCAGTATAAGGTAAAATAATTATTTTATTCATGCCTAATTTTGGGAAAATAGTAAATGAAATTTGGAATGAACTTATTAAATAACTTAATTGTATGTGTTGGGAATGCCTAATTGTGTTCTGTTTATTTTTGTCCGAGGCAAATTTTAATTTGTTTGGAACTTGTATAATTGGGCGTTCAAGTTTTCACACAAAAAGAAGACAGAAGAAGTGAACTGATTGAGCTCAGTTGTAAAGGGCAATTTTGCTTTTACAGGAAAATTGCTTTGGCATTAACATGAGATTAACTAAATATAGAAGAATGGGCTGTGGAAAATCTTAGAATTATTCTAATCCAGAACTTGCAAGATTTCGCATTGAAAAAAGAGAATTATGTAAATTTGCCTAGTCATGTGACATGACAGCGGGGGTCAATATCACCTTAGCATGCAAGCAACCAATTCAATATAAATTGGAGATTAAAAATTTTCTGAAAATTTCTTCTAGCCAAAATATAACATATATAAATAAGATACTAGATATTATCTATGTAACAATTTTTGCTAGAAGGTTTATAGATAAAACTGTATTAAACTTGATATGGTGAGAGGCTCTCAACTCAGTATTGATATATCGATTTGTATTTTTTTATTTATCATTAGAAAAACAATATCAAATTTTGAGATTCAAACCATTCATGAATTTGCAGTCAATTGTCAATAGTTAATTGCTCAAAAATTTCAAAAGTCTCTGCTTTTGTGAATGAAAATCTACATTTGATTTTTAATAAAAGGTAAGAGAGCATATGATAGCACATTCCTAATAGTTTAAACAAGTCAAGAGTCGTGGTCTACGCAAATCCAAGCCTCATTAGTTTCTTCCTCACCATTATAGGCAATGAATAAATAGGAGTTAATTACTAAATGTTACCAATTCCAGTTGCCATTACAATAATAAACAGTATTTTTTGTCATAAATAAGATACTTTTTGACTGGTAGCATGGTAAGAGCATCTCCAACGGTGGTATAATATCTAACATTGTAATGGATGGGTAGTCGTGTAATACCCATTACACGCATCATCAGGATGATGATGCGTATAATGGGTGGCCCCATTACAAAAAAATTTAAGAGTTTGACTCTAATTTTGGTTAGCAACTTCGATCGGATTCATTTTTTGCAACGGAAAATTTGCAACGTTAATATGTTGCTAAGGTCAGGATCTTAAATCTACTCATTACATACATAGCCCCCATTTCATGGCTCATTTCTTCCTCTTTGCTTCATTCTTTCCTGACAATGCATGGTCAAATTTGCTTTTTTATGGCTTGCATGTGGAGGGCTGCACCTGCGTTCCACAACAACTAGAGAATAAGAATGAATAATCTGGGAAGGAATATTGAATTGAATTGCCATAGCAAGTCAACGCGAAATGCACATTGTTTTTAGAGATGGCAACGGGATGGGCCGTTGTCGAAAGACTGCCCTGGCGCCCACCCCCGTTCTCTCGCTTCTATTTCTCCTACCCCGCCCCGTTTCCCTCGCGGGTGACCATTTCTTTTCTTCTTTTTTTTTTTTTTTGGTATTGAAGAGAAGGATTTTATTTTTAAGTAAATCCATCTTTGCAATATATATGAATTAGTAGTTTAAGAGAACATTACTTTCAAACTGTTTGTCCTCAAAAACAAGATTTATTTATTGGTGGACAAGCAAGCATTAGTGTTAATAGATTGCAAAGAAAATGTTAGCAAAATAGCTATAAATTCTTGCAATTGACATAATTTCATCAAATTGAGAGTGAGTGGCAGTTAAAAGAAAAAAAAAGATATGTGACAGAGAAAGAAACGAACCAAAGAAAGAAAAGTGGAAGAGAGTTAGATTAAATGTTAATAGGTTTCTTAGTTTCTCTAATATTTGATGTTTTATGTTTAGCATAATTGAAACTTTAACGAGAATTAAATACCCTTCATATTTGTATTCATTAATTGCTAGATTAAGTTGGAACTTGATCATTTAAATTCAAGGCCATATTCCTCTGAATCAAATTATTTGTCATTTCACCCCTGCGTAGTCCGACTAGTTTCATATAAGGATGGCAATGGCGGTCACCCGCCTCGCGGGGACTAATGGGGAGGGGGTTGGGGCGGGGTTCCCCCCCGCTTAGAAACGAGGCGAGCACTCCCCGCCCCGCTACCCGCTTTAAAAAAATAAATATATAAAATATATATGTATATAATTATATATAATAATATATAATTTAATTAGTTACAAACTTATGATAATGATAATATTAGTTATATGTATTATATGATGTCTATTAGTATATATAATATAATTGATATTATTAATTATACTAATAATTCTATATGTGTACTAATACAAATTATTAATTGGTTATACTAAATTTACTAATACATTTATACTAAATCCCTAATTACACTTAATACAATAACATTTTTTTCTTAAAAAAAGCGCAAGCACAATAATGAATTAGTGATTGTTTTTGTGCCAAAAGTGAAAACTTGACTATTTTAGTTATATTTATTTCATCATGTTGGATTGTATTCAAATAATTTTTATTTGATTGTTTTTATAAGTTTCAATTGTAAATTACAATGAATAACAATTTGATGATGTGTTGATACTTTAATACTTGATTATTTGCTAAAATTTAACAACAATAAAATTATATAACAAATTTTTATTAGTTCCGCGGGAACACCCGCAGAAAAAGCGGGGCGGGCGGGGACAGAGCGGGGGACGAGGGATGGGGCAGGGGCGGGGGGAGTTTGTAGGTCCCCCATCTCCCGCCCCGTTGCCATCCCTAGTTTCATAGATTGGTAGTTATCAGTAGGTCCCTTGATTGACTCTTGTTTGCTACTTTGCTGTGTATCCTTGAGGCAAAACTCTACACAACTTTAGGAGATTAGTATGATTGAAAGGCCGGGATAACCCCTAAGTAAAAAAATAAAAAATAAAAAATTCCTTTGTCATCTTAGGGCCTGAATTCCCATATCCAACGGAATAGGGCCTAACCAACCTAAAACCCCAGTAGCCCAAAACCACAAAACCCCTCTAATGTCCTGTCATTAGACCTTTTTTTTTTTTTTTTTTCCTCCAAACGATAACATGGTCCTGTCATTAGACTTTGCTTGCACATGATTCAAAACTCAGAGTGACTTTCATTAGAATGGAAGGGAAAGAACATGAAGAAGAAGAGGATATCATTTGCTTGGATGAATCATTCTTCATCAATGACAAGTATGAAACAAATACAGAAAAGCACATCCATACACACTTCTGTGTATATTTTGGATCATTGTGTACATTCTTGAATTCATTTACTGTCACTGATTGAGAATTCATTGTCTGCTGCAGTTACCAGCTCACAACCTTTACTTTTGGGTCTCATGTTCTTCAGCTTTATTGCCTCCAAGCTGCTTCGAGTGAGTTTCCTCTTTCGTTTATCTGGGAATTAATTTACCTGCTTTCTTAATTTTTGCTGTTATTCCTCTTGGCCAAGAATGTGCACTTGTTATTTTATTTTATTTTATTTTTGTTATTCTATTGGTTTCATGATTAGATAATCATGGGATTGATGTAGAAACTCATGATATTCATTTTTTTTTGGGCCTTGTAGGTGCGCTTGAATTTTGAAAATTTAGTTGAATAAAAAACTTGTATTGTAACTTTCGGAAACACCAATTGAAATCAGGGATTTGAGTATTGCCTAGGAATTGCTTAAGAATTGGAGTTAAGTAGAAACCAGTATGTTGTAGTTGAATATTATTGATCAGTGCATCTCATGTGTCAGTACTGTAACCAAATATCTCGAATTTGTTCTTTGTTTTGATTTTGAATTCTATTTGCTAATAGAATATTGTGGACTGACTAGCTGTAAGACAGCTGATTTTGATTTAACAGGTCAGCTGGTGTGGCCTGGCGCGGTGCTATTGAATGATTATCTTGCCAAAAATGCTGGCATTCTGCAAGGGTGTTCTGTAATTGAACTTGGCTCTGGTGTAGGTTAGTGTTAGTCGTCGGATCCTGTCATTCTTATGCATCAGATTTTTTAAGGAAAACACAGAAAAAAGTTTTCCTGTTATTGTCAAGTCCAGCTGGTGAAATACTACTTCATGAGGGCAATGCCAAATTCACAAAATAAAAGAGAACAATTTTGAGGAGTTCGGGGGATGGGCTGGGTAGTAGAGGGGAGGGAGTGTAAATGAGAGGTCGAGGTCCTAGGTTCGAGACCTCCCACTTACACTTGAAAAAAAAATTCAGGAATTCATTGCAATAGCTAAAAGCTAATCACACAACTTATCTACATCTACAGAATGGGTTATTTCATAGTTTTTGATGAATAATTATAATCACAAAATGAGTGAACATTTTCATATAGATAGCAGTTTAACAAAACAACAAAAATTTGGGATGCACAGGAACAGTGCAACTTGGTGACGTAAAATTAATTAGAGAGTATATCATTCATTTGGTATGCCATATGTGTATGCAGACAATAGGCCTGTTTCTACCAACGCCGCATGCTTGTGCTATTCGTGCTGAGAGAATTCTATAAAAGCCAACTTACAGAGTTAGGTAGAAATGGCTTTTAAACTATAGGGATGGTCTAAATGCTAAACTGTTCCCTAAGCTTTCACATATGCCTAGATTTTTTATGTCAGCACAGAATGACTTGTAATGTCTAAGCTGTGATGCCTGTAACCATTTCAGTTTTTCAGTTCCTCAAGTATAAAGTTTATTGAA